GCAGGAAAAAACATTTGTGAAGTTCAGAAGGGTCAGTCACCCCCTTTCCCACAACACACACTCCTAGCCTCTCTACCTCCCACCCCCAACCTGGAAGTAAGAGATGGCCATTGCTGCCTCCTGTCTGGAGAGATTAGGCCCGGTGGGCAGGTAATTCCCGAAGCTCATTCCTGTCACCCCTGGGAGGATCCGAATTTCTCCCTGCCTGCTCTTGACCCCATTTCCATCCCCTGGGGATGCACAAGCCACTACCACATACCGACTGGCTGCTATGGCCCACTATTGCAGCTAGAGACAGCCCAGACTTACCTGGCCTTGCCATCCTGCATGCCAGTGGGTATGGGCTAGGTTCAAATAGAGCTGGGAAAACTGAGTCCTGCCCTGCCAGACGCCTGCTCTCCCTCAACTACATTGAAGGCACCCCAACCCAATTGGCCTGATGATAATTGTGGCTCCCCAATTCCATCAAGAGGAGGATGTTCATGGCTTTGGTATTCATTGTTCCCTGCATCTAAACAGCACTTAGAAGTCTCTAGGTGTAGCTGATAGTGGCAACTGTGATGGTGGTTAAGCTCTGTGGTTACCATGGTTGTCTGTCAGCCAGCTGTGGTCCTGACAGGTTGCTGGTGGGCCCTGGTCGGCATCCTGAAGTGCAGTGTTGATCAAGGGCTGACCTGCCTGCCCCCCTCCCTGCTGGGAGGAGCAGACACAGCAAAGTGGGCTTGTAAGAATGCAAGTCTTGACTGTTTACTTTGGAGGGTTCCAGGAAATGCTGCAACAAAAGGTTCTGCCGGCCAAAAAAGAAAGCTTACCCTCCAAAGATAAGGGGATCAAAAGGCCTTCTTAGGCTGCTGTCCCCAAGGACTAGCTGTCCCCTCCTCCCTCCTTCTCTGCTGGACATACCCGCTTTGGTCCATTGTCCACTTTTGTCTGCCTTTCCTGCCTGAAAAGGAGGAAGTGGCCAGGGCCTGACCTTCAGTATACTCTGCCCTGCCCAGCTGCCTTTCACCTTAGCCTTCCTAGAAGGACTTTGACCAGGAGAAGAGGATGCATGGAAGTAGGCCCAGACTTACTCAAAAATGAAATTGGAAAACTGCCTTCCCATCCCTGCTGGGGAAGGGGAGAGGGGGTGGGGGGTTGGGGTGAGAGGAGTGTTGCTGGAGGTCATTTTGTCCATGCCGCTGCCTCTGTACACTGCTGTGTGTTCTGAGCATAGGCTGTTTTGCAGAGACTATCTTCCAATGACACGAAAATGGGCAGGGATCTTTTTCTCCTTAGGAACCTCCGTTAATACTGTTCCCTTCTCCACATAGCCCCAGGGTAACCATTCTAAAAGCCCAATTTGACACTACCTAAAATCTTTTAGGCCCTTAAACAACTAATAAGAAAGTCTCAGATCTCTGGTATGTCCCTCAAGAGTACTTAAAACATACCAGTTCTTACTTTTTCACCCTTCTCGCTCACTTCTCCCATCCTCCCCATGGCTTTACAGTTGCTGTTTTACCTGGAAATGCCTCTCTCCCTACTCCTGTCTCCACTCAGGGATTACATCAAGAAAGTCAGTAGACCGTATGGGGAAATCACAAAAAATAAAATTCAGGATAGATCAGATTGAGATGAACTTTTGTGTTTAAAATGTAAATTGACAACAATAAGGAGCTATTGAAAGTTCTTGAGCAGAGTAGTTGTCTTAGTCTATCCAGGTTGCCATAACTGAATACTCCCATGAAGCTGAGCAGCTTATAAACACAGATTTATTTTTCAGTTTTAGGGGATGGGAAGTCCAAGATCAGGGCACCAGCAGACTCAGTGTGTCATGAGAGCCTACTTTCTGATTCATAGGCAATTGTCTCCTTACTGCGTCTTCACAAGTGGAACCCAGCAAGCCAGCTCTCTGAGTTTTGTTTTTTTGTTTTTTGGGGTTTTTTTTTGTTTGTTTTTTGGGTTTTTTTGTGTGTGCTTGCCAGAAAGACAGAGAGAGAGAAAGCAAGACAGAGAGATAGAAAGCAAAAAATCAACCCCCAGGGGGATGGCCATGCCGCAATCCTTTCTTCTCCTCTCAAGATCTTGGGCAGGCATGCACATGCACCTGGAGTGAGTTTAAGTCACCGGGTCCGGGACTCGAACCACAGTCGACTACATGGGAGATCAGCAACATAGCCATTATGCCAACTGCTGGTCCCTCTGGGTTCTCTTTTATAAGGGCACTAGTCCCCCTCATGAGGACTCTACCTTGACCTAGAGCTTGAAGCTTGTAGCTCCTAATACCATTGCCCTCAGGGTTCAGATTTCAATATAGGACTTTTGAGGGGACACAAACTTTCAGACTGTAGCAGTAGTCATTTCCTGAATGTAGTTGGGGGAGGAGTCCATTGGAAACAAATACAAGTTCACGTCTCCCATACTCCTCTCAGCTTTTGGAAGACAGTCTTCAGAATAGAAAAACAAGAGGGGGCAGGGGGAGTACAAGGACAAGAGGGGGAGAGGAGGAAAAGGAGAAGGGAAGACAGAATCTGTGTCCCTGGCCTAAGGAAGGTTGGAGGGAGGTCGGGCAACCTCTCTACCTTATCACCTTTTCTAGCAAAAAGAAAAATTAAATAGAAATATGAAGGTCAAGTTCTTTGGGTAATAGGGCCCTCCCATGGGGAGGAAAGAGAGCAAAGGAATAGGGAGATAAGCCTGACCCAGGAGCTGGATGAATGATACCTTTGGCACACAAGGAGTTTTCAAGGGTGAACAGAAGAGAAAAGTCTTGTCAAGGCTTCTTGAACACAGCTCTTTTAGCCCCTGCCCCAGGCCCCAGGAGCACTGAGAGGCAGGAAGGGCTCATGCAGTCATTCAGGTTCTTCCTAGAACCCCTTATCCTATTTTATGACCACCTCAAGTGAGCTGCTGGCTTCCTCTACTCTGCCCCATTTTATCCCATAGCCCCTCAACCCCAACTTACAAGGACTGGGCACCGTGCCAGGCACTAGGGATATACCTGACTAACACACAGCCTTCAGAAGGGATAGGCGGATGTGTGCTCAGATATTGCCATACTGCCTTGGCAAGAAGTGCTGTCATTATCATCCTATTTTCTGAACTAAAAATTGAGGCATAGAGCCCAGTTTATACAAGTGTACTCATGAGGGACACAAACAGAAAGTTCAAGGCAGACCTGAGCTGAACACCCTGGGCCTATGAATCCTAAGCTCCAATAGGAGCTTAGAGAGCAAAAGAAGGTTCAACACATACAATTGGACTTTTCTTTATCACCCTTGATGAAGAGAGCAATATTTTATTCCTACTGTCATCGTTGTTACTATTCTTTGGCAGAAGAGGCCCTTTCCCTCAGAGTCCTTCCTCCATTACATTCCTAGGGACAAAAAGGAAGATCCTGTTTATTCCCAATCAAGGGAGTTGATTCTGGGGTCGGCCAGAACCAGGGAAACAGGAACTGATTCCTTAAATTTTCCAACTCTATGCATCAGCAGCTGAGAAAAGAGCAGGGCCAGTTAACAAAGTTTCGTTAGCATTCCCACCTGTCCTTAGCCAAATTTCTCTTCAGCTCGGTTTTCTTTCTTTGCCTAGGCCCAGCCCCTGGACAAGGTATGATCCTTGCTGTAATTAATCATACCCTACTTCCCCAATACAGACTCATTCCAATTTCAGTTTTTAAAAAGTTAAATGTGTGCATATGAAATGTTCTTTGTTGCTGAAGCAGCCTTTTAGCCTAAAGAAAGGAGTTTAGGAAGTGCAAGAAAGAGGAGAAGTTTCCAGGGCAAAGTATTTGCACATACGTGAGGGTATTTCTGATCCTCTATGCTCCAAAACACCTCCCTGATCTCCCAGTCAGAACAAAAAATTTTTAATGTATGTTAAATACAATCATAAGGCCTGGCATGATTCATTTCACAAACGTTCATTTATTGTCATCATTTACTGTTACTATCATTCATTCTTAGCAAACTGAGCAAGCTGATTAAGTAACATGGTGCCCTGGTATCTATATTTTTCTCTAATGCCCCCAAGTAGTTTGGATTTGTGGTCATCCACATTCACTGCTTTAGAAATCATCTCTTCCAATGGCTGTCTGCGGACACTGAGGACAAAGTGGAAAGGTCTTGTCCCAGGTCACCTAGCAATGTGCATCTGAGCCTAGGCCACAGACCCTACAGTCTAAAGAAAAGAAGATGGGTTTCTTCCTATGTCCCACTAAGAACAGGATGAGGAGGCAGGGAGAAGCACCTGAGTGTTGCCATTTCACATCTAATCGCTTCTTGTCACGTTGTAACCATTTTCCTCATACTGAGCCCCACGCTGATGGATCAGAAATAACATTTTCAAAGTTATATCTGCAAGGAAATGGCTATTAATGTTCTTCCTCTCCTTTTAGAGTGCCGAGAAATACATATTAA